GGTAATAAAACGAACAATATACATTTATGGTGAATAATATTCTCTGACATATCTAGACCAAAAAAACATTATTTAAAACAATATGATTTAACAATTAATGATGATGAACTATCATTTTATGTATGCTGGATGAATCTAATTAATGAATAATACATTCCATGAACCAAATGAACCAATGTCTAATGAAGTTGATAATGGATAAATTAATGACAAATGAAAATGATCAAATATATGTATTGGAGATGAACTGACTTTGATTGACAAACAATTAATTTGAATAATGTATCCCATGAATTAATGTTGAGTCAAGCTAATAATGAAAAATAATATATTTTAGTGACTAATGAAAAATGATGAATTTTTTATATATTTATATATTAGAAATGAATTGAATTGTATTGATACATATTGTATTATATGTTTATTCTGCCCTATGTATTAATAATAATATACATTGCATTATATGTTTAAAAAACAGATTATTGCTGAAAACCGATTTATACAAACAAACAAAATAACCCCCCTGAAGAAGCCTATGTGAGCGTAACGCGTAGGGGATTCATCAAATAGTGCTATATCTGTAAAGAACTGTATGAAATACAAATATGTTTATGAATGTATACATTTTGAAAGTATTATGGTATGTAAATATATGAATCAGCAATAGTCTTAGGGATAGAGAAATGCAATTCTGAGATGCATACGAGCACTACTTCAAATTAATTGTATCTAACTAAATGATTTTTAAAAATAAGAATTTCAATACATTTCTATTAACTATATATATCTGAGTCCTCTCTGAATATACCCCATCACAATATTAATATTGTAAATGGTTTTCTAATTGAATAATTGGGGGGCGTGGACTCAGTTCGCCTAAGGTGAGGTCTGGGAAGTGCTATTACTGGATTCTTCACAACAATGGAACCTCTCTCCTTGAAGTTCTTGATGATCCGATAAATGGTTGATTTAGGTGCAATCTTAGTAGCAGCAATATCCTTGCCTGTGATTCCCTTTTTGTGCAAAGCAATGATGACTGCACATGTTTCCTTGCAGATAACCATGGTTAACAGAGGAAGAACAATGATTTCAAACACCACCCTCATTTTAAAGCTTCCAGTCTGTTATTCTAAAGCTGGCCATAAACCTTACAATTATCTGCAGATTTTCTTTGGTCAGATGGAAAAGGGGCAACAGATTCCTCCAGCTACACTTAACTGTGTGGATGGAGTAATCTCCACCTGGGCCAATCTGTTGCACTTTTTCCATCTGACCACAGAAAATCTGAAGATAATTGTAAGGTGTATGGCCAGCTTATGGTGTATGGGCATCTTAACTCAATCTGCATGACAGAGTGGTCTCCAGCCTTGTCCTCATCAACACTGACACCTGTGTTAACGAGAGAATCACTGACATGATGTCAGCTGGTCCTTTTGTGGCAAGGCTGAAATGCAGTGGAAATGTTTTTTGGGGGGGGGATTAAGTTAATTTACATGACAAAAAGGGACTTTGCAATTAATTACAATTAATCTGATCACTCTTCATAACATTCTGGAGTATATGCAAATTGCCATCATACAAAATGAAGCAGCAGACTTTGTGAAAATTAATATTTGTGTAATTCTCAAAACTTTTGGCCATGACTGTATATTTTAAGGGGGACCCCACGCAAAAACACACAAGAAAGTGGGTTTCCCCTTCACATCAAAGTGCTCCCTTCAAATCAAGATTTCCCCCTCTTCACATCAGAGTCACCTTTTGCAGCAGGAGCCCCCAGGGCCGCCATTAGAAATTATGGGGCCCCGTAAATCCTACCCTACAGGGCCCTGGTGTGTTAATCACTAGGTTCCGTGCATTCAACGCATGCTACAATGCATCACACCTACCATGAGTTACAGTGTGGCATTTGAATGGCACCCTAAACGCACCTCGTGGTTACAATGCGTTTGATCCCACCGCAACACATGGTACCAAAAGTAGTGCATGCTCATAGGGCCTGTTCACACCATCTGTATTCGGGCCGCGCTGGCAAAATGTATTATTGCTGCCTTGGTGGGTAATTATTATTGCTGCTTGGGGGGAAATATTATAAAGAATTATTCAAAAATAACCCCCGGGCAGCAATATCAAACCCCCAACTTGACCCCAGCTTATTAGACAGTGGAGAGGAGTTTGACACAGAGCCGATTGGACCAGCTCTGTGTCATGTGATGGCTGTGATAACCAATTGGTTATCACTACAGGTGCACCGAAATATAATTTTCTGACCGAAACTGAGAATAAAAAAATTGCCAGACCGAAACAGAAAATTATTTTTTGTAACCTTTTTACATTTTTTAAAAATATTTTTATTTTTATTTATTTTTCCTAAACTTTTGAAAATTATTTTTTAATATTTTATTGTTATTTATTAAATATTTTTAATTTTTATTTTACTTTATTGTCGAGAGCTTTGAGGAAATATTAGGGGTCTAAACAGACCCTTGATATTTTCCTTTTAAAATAGAAAAAGACATTGAGGGTACAGAGCCCTCAATATCTTTTTCTGCAGCCCCTGTTATGCATTAACAGGAAACCTCTATACTGAGTGTTCCTGTTCATTCATAACGTGTGGATATAGTATGTTTACCATATCCACAATCATGAATGAACAGGACGTGATATAAAGCACTTCCCATTCATTCATAATTGGGGACAGAGTAAACATACTATGTCCTCAGTTATTTACAAGCAGTCAGCGATCAGCTGATCGCTCACTGCTAGTACCCGCTCTCCATCCTTACTTGCTTGTCACAGGTGGCTGAGCCGGCGATGCGGGAGAAAAGCTTGGTCTCCTTTGACAGCTGACTCCTCCCGCACCGCCGGTTTGGCCTCCTGTAACAGCGCAGAGCTGTCTCTGCCCCCACACCGCTCTCCATCCTGATCTGTCACAGGACACCTGGCTGTTCACAGTGCTCTCCTTCCCACCCCCGCTCGGTGTCCTGACAGTTTTTCTCCTGCCCGCTGGACGGTGCGCTGTGTCAGAGGGGACACAGCAGCGCTTTACGAAGGGGAGAGAAACTAGGCATGCACCGCAATTTCATACCATCTTTCGGCATTTAGAAGTTTCAATGCATACCTAGTTATCACAGTGATCAAGCTCTCCCCTTCCTCTTGCATCAGCAGGGATAGGCACGGAACAAGCCTCCTGTGGCGGACATTTTCCAAATTACAGACCTTAGTGAAGGACACCAAGGTACATTTCAGATTGAGACTGAGACGTGGACAGATCTGGGAGGGGTAAAGCGGCTTGGAGAGCGGTGTCTGCCCAGCTGGCCGAAGGACAGCTGTAGTATGATAATGACTGCTCTTAAGGATGGATTTGGGTGTGAGGAGAATGCGCTGTACACACACCGAAGTCAGGCGACATTTGTTCATCTCGTGAGACTGAGAGGTGGGCAGATCCAGGAGAGGTAAAGCGGCTTGGAGAGTGGTGTCTGCATAGCTGGCAGAGGGACATGTGTGGTAAGGTGACGACTGCTCTTGAGGATGGATATGGGTGTGATGTGAGGGGAATGAGGTGTCTGCAGGATGAAGGTTGTGTCACCATATTATCAGATCTGTTTGGCCGGCTCGATGCTGATTGGCTGGTAATGGCTGCTCTGCTGTCCTCTGCAAAACACTCCCCCGTCCCCCCCCAGCCCCAGACATCTGCTTGCTTACTTTTCCACTGCAGCAGCCTCCACTCCCGCCCGCCCGCTAAAAAGCAAGCTCAGCCCCCCAAGAAAAAATAAACCCTTTCTGCACGTACACAGGACGGTACCATATACCGCAATTGTACAGGGGGGGGGGGGTCAGGGCTGGACCGTACCAAGTTCTTTCAACTGTACTGTACTCTGATATGGTGACGGACCCTGCAAGGGCCACTCACGGACGCCTTGCCGATCTGTGTGCATCAGAGGCAGGGGAGAGTGGAGGGAGTAGTAAATGGATGGGTTATTTATTCATTACTGCCTAGGAAAAACAAGCTGCAGCAGCGAAAAAAATAAATAAATTCAGATCATTTTAACACCCATCCTCTCCTGCCTATGTTAGATCCATTCAATCTCTCACCTGTATATTAACCCTTTCACCCACCTTATCATGTACATCTATACATTAACCCCTTCATCTCCATCCTCCCAGTGTATGTGGCCTGTACATTAACCTTCCACTCCCTCTGTCTATTAACTGTACATTTATTGTATTTTGTGCACTATTACCAGGAGTGTCTACTTTCCATAAAAGGGGTCATTCTGGGGGTACTCTCCTGACATTTTTATTTGCTATGATTTATTAAAAAATAACGTTTTTTTAAAATTGTATATAGTAAACAATTTTTAAAAAAAAGTGGTTATTAAATACCATGAAAAGAAAGCTCTGTTTGTCCCCCAAAAAATTATATAAAACAAATTATGTTAGCGTTGCATGATGGAGGAATTCTCAGCCAAACTTGTACAGTGATGAACAGTGAATAATGGCCTGATAATGCAGGGGGTGTAACATGCCAGTACTGAAGTGGTTAAATAAATCAGTTTTTATAGAAGTCTTCACATAATCCCAAAAAGTGAGACAACTAAGGAAGAAAGCAGGCCATATTTGGTTTCAAAAGAGGAACAGTCCTACGAAAATAGGGAGATATGTATTTGTATATAAAGAAGTGTTTTATCCATCCAGTTAAGTAAAAATAAATTGAAATGCACGATCAGGTTTAAGTGCTCTAAAGTCCACCAAATCAGTAGAGCGGGCAGGCAAAGTGGGCTCAAAATGCACAGTGCATTTCATTACCTGCGTGGGAACGAAAACAATGAGTTAAATAACCACAGCGTGGCTTACGCAGAAAACGCAAATTCCGCCTCTAAAAAAATTATGTGACTGACTGATAACCAATGAGGAGTCAGTATTTTGTAGCGTCAGCCAATGAGCGCCGAAGGTGTGGGGTGGGGCTGGTGAGATCACTAGGATCAGTGAGCACAGATAGGAGGTGGGAAGACTGCATTTCCTTGTTGCCTCGGATTTCTTAATGAATGACTACTCATTAAACAGAGCCTGCAGCTGATCTGGTTCGCAAGCAAATATTAGCAGGTAAACCTCAGGCAGAAGCCATTATTAACGCGTCCCTGACAATCAAATTGCTGGCACTCATTTGTTGCTTGTCTGTGGTGTCACTTCTCTGTCTGCAGTGCTACACAGTGAAGAATAGGTCGTAGTAAGTTGTTATGTGCCTGGTGGCAGCCAGTGTGTACCTGTAGTAGAGCAGTGATCTCTACCCTACGTCTTTTATGCACCATACTTTTATATTTCTCTGAAGCTCATGGCTTTCTTTTTTCTTGAGGGCCGTGCACACCTGGGCGATCTGTGACCGTGCAGGATACCGCGTGGATTGCCACGCGGTCACGGAGTCGCCCATCACCTATGCTTGCGCTGTGGGTGCCATTATTTTTTGATGGCACCCCAGGTGTGCCGGGTGGATCGTGCGGTTCCCTGCTGCGATTCTGCGTATACCGCAAAAATAAAGGTACCTCTACCTTTTTTCTGCGTTTGTCGCACGGATGTACCCCATTGCAATCAATGGTGCCGCGCGGCAATAGCTGTCTGCAATTGTGCACAACCACGTGATCCCGGGATGTGCGTCCTGGTTTGCTCAGGTCTGCACCGGCCTTAAAAATGCCTGTCTTGCATGCAGTGCTAGAGTGGACCTTCCATGGAAATGGAAGGTGTGTGCTATTTACCCCTCCCCCTTAAAGTAATGCTAAACTCAGGCATAAATCTTAAAAATGCTTTCAAGGACCTTAACTATTAACAAAAGTGTATCCTATTTGTGTATCACTCAGCTGTAGATCCGCAAATCATCTCTGAATTTGTGTTGACACCGTCCCCCCTTCTGGAAGGTGGCTACCTTTGTTCACCATGGTCCCTTGTGTGTGTTGTAAAGTAGCCCCCGCTCCAAGCTCACTCCTGTGATGGACTACAATACAAATTTGTAAACTAAACATTAGATTGTAGTCCATCACAGGGGTGAGCTTGAAGCTGTGGCTACTTTACAACACATAGGGACCATGGAGAACAAAAGTAGCCACCTTCCAGAAGGAAGGACAGTGTCCTGATGTATTAAAGGAGAACTATGAGGTGAGTGATTTTCACTCAACCTCATAGTTCGAGCCAACGTGTGACAATGAAATTGTCACACGTCAGCTCAATAGATCGGGAAGTGAGCGAACACATAGCTTTGCTCGCTCACTTCTTGATCCTGTGAGTTGTGACTGTCACTCACCACTCCCTGCAGGGTTTCCCCCTCCCCGGTCCGATCCCCCAGCGCTGACTGGAGGAACGAACGGGGAGGGGGCAGATACAGCTGGCTCTGCCTCTAGATAGGCAGAACCAGCTGTCAATCACGCAGCTGGGTGGATCTCGACAGCAATGTCGGGATCCGTCCCGGCTGCGGCAGTCTCAGCTACAGCTCGCGGTATTCTGAGCTTTGGGTAACGGGAGGATGCTAGTTTATGTCCTCCTGTGACCCTGAGGAGAACTATGGGGAAAAACACTTACCCCATAGTTCTCCTTCAATTCTGAGATGATTTGAAGATCTACAGACGAGTGATGCACAAAAAAGGTACATTCTATTTAATAGTTAAGGTACTTGAATGCATTTTTAAGATTTAACTCTTGGGTTTTGTGTCCAAATTGTCTGCAAAAGTGATTTGTTAAAAATAAAGCTTTTACTGAAAAAAAAACAAACACTTTCAATGCTTCTGGGAGGGGGTGGGTGGCTCCACTGTAGCTCACTGCTGCCTCATGGGCTAGCTGGTCAGTAAAAACCTTAGGCCCCTTTCACACTATCCAATCAGGAGGGCATGGATCCCCTCCTAATTGGAGTGGTACGGAATGGATGTCACCGCTGTGACATCTGTGTCCGTCCAGTTTTTTCCTTTACATCAGATTTCCCCTCGATCCGACACAATCAGGTCCAGCGACTAGAAACACTGTACCGTTTATTTTTCCAGACCTGGCTAAAGCCTGGGACAACCAGGCGTAAATGGACACCCGTCTGTTTAGATCCGGCTGCCCATAGACTTATGTTGGGCCATCTTTCTGAAAGAGGCCTTAACCCTTTCCCTGCCACAGCCGTAAGGCATACGGCGGAACAAAACTGTTCCCAGCTGGCCAGGTCAGTATGCCGTACGGCGATGGCATTTACAGTTCTGCTATAAGGTCATGGTCGCTTTAGCGACCATGACCTTATAGCAGAACTGTTCCCTAGACTGTCCCCTTTAAATTAATAGCTGTCATCAGCGGCTCACAAGCCGCTAATGACAGCTAGAGCAGCTGCTGTCATCCAGTCAGTTTCAGGATGACAGCCGCGGTGCGCGTGGCCGAGCTGGGGATCGGTAAATGTCAGTGATATCTACCTACCCTCTGTGTGAAGGACAAACTCCGGAGTGATCGTCTGATCACTCCAGTGTTTGTAAATAACTTGACACATAGTACTATGTGTCCCCAGTTATAAATGAACAGAATGTGATTTGCATCCTGTTCATTCATGAATTTATGAATGGGGAGTAGCACTCACTACTAAAGAGGCTTCTTCCCGTTCATAAACGGCTTGATAGTAAATATTTTACTATCGGCAGTTTCTGAATGAATGGGAAGCCGCTGTGCTGAACACTGATACTGAAGCTGGCTCCATGTTCCCCTACGTCACTGCCGGTTAGAGGAAATCTTCCTCTGCCAGAAGTTCCGGTATTGGGGAAGGTATCGGAGCATTTGGGCGAGTAAAAATACTGTGCATCGGGACATCCCTAATCAAAACTGTATTTGACTGTGCTAAATAATGCTTCTCATTGGTCACCATGTTCACCTGACCACTGAGTGCTTGCAATTTGCGAGCGAAATTCAAAATGCAGTGCACCTGTACTGGCGGAGGGTAAGGACTGTTTGTCGAAAGGTAATTATAGCGGGCGGGGGGGCTGATTTGGGAGAGACCGGGCCAGATTTGATCGGGTAATTCCTTTTTTCCAGTGAACTTGCCCTTTAATGCATATTGTGCGTGTAAGAGAGTTCTGCTGTCTGGCTACCACAATATGGCACATAATTGATTTCTTTTCCCCCACTTTAATTTTATGCCTATCGCATAGGGGTTTAAAAGCCCCTATGTGATAATTTGGAGGTGACAGGTCCTCTTTATGGAACCTGCCCTCCAACACAGATGTTCTGTGCAGTTCCTCATAGCTGAGACAGGTGGCGTTGTGATTACAGGGCTTCGGTCTCAGTGATCACACAGAGCAGACGAAGAACGTCCGTTCTTCGTCTGTTCTACGGGCTCTACGGTGAGCTCATGTGCCGTGGTCATGGGTCCCCCAGAGGAGCGGGGAACCCCAAAAACCACGGCGGGAACCCCAAAAGACACAATCGCCGCTGCTCCTTTCATACAAGTGATCTGATCAGATCAATTGTATAAAAACGAGTGGCGGCTCCCCACTGTAAATTTAGCTCTGCTTGTCCGGAGCAGGGCTAAATGTACAAAAAAACTACTCGCCCGGTGCCTGAAACTGCTTGTTTCGGGCATCGGGCGATAGGAATTCCACACCCCTGAAGTCATAGAGGAGTTCCAGGCGGAAGGGCAAGAGAATACCCAGATATTTTAGGGCCTGTACCTGCCATATGAAGGGGCTGCTCCAAGGTGAAATTTAACGCTTCTGTTTTGTGTACGTTCACTTTAAAGTTGCTCAGTGAGCCAAACGTGTGAAATTCCCGTAGTAGTGCGGGAAAGGCTCACACAGGATTGGAGACATATGGCAGAAGATCGTCTGCAAACAAGTCTAGTTTGTATTCTCGGTGGCCTAGTCTCAGTCCTCGAATAAATGGGTTATTTCTGATCGCTATTGCCAGGTGTTCCATAGCGAGTATGTAGAGATATGGGGAGAGCGGGCATCCCTGTCGCGTACCATTACGAACTTGGACAGAGTCCGAAAGGAAGCCATTTAACCCTAATCCGGGCAAAGGGTATATCATAATGGACCACAATTTTAGTGAGTAATGTTAAAGGAATGCCTATCTGTGCAAGACTCTCAAAGAGGAAGGGCCGGCTCAGTCCCTGACAGACAACAAACGCATATTTTGCGCCTTTGCCCAAGACATAAGTGTTAAAGATTTTATATTGTTGTCTCTAGCCTCTCTATTGGGAACAAACCCTACTTGGTCAAGGTGAATTAAGTAGGGGAAATATGATTTAAGGCGATTAGCTATAATTTTGGCGTAGAGTTTTAGATCAACATTAAGAGAGATCGGCCTGTAACTAGCGCAGTTTGAGGGTTCTTTATGTTCTTTTGGTATCATAGTGATGTGAGCCTCTTGGGCTTGGGGTGTGATTGAGCAAGAGTCAGAGACTGCATTAAAAGTCGACAACAGAATAGGGGATAGGGAGTCACGCAGTTGAGTATAATAAAAGGAAGTGTTACTCTTTCCTGCAGGTAGGGAATTAATAGTCTCTGTGACTTCTGTCGGTGTGAAAGGGTCAGACAGGGAAGCAATGGTGGAGTCAGACAATTTGGGCAAACAAGTGGAGGACACATATGTACGCATGTCTTCAGCCGAACGACTAGATGGGGAGGAGAAGGCGGGCTTGCTATTATATAAGGTGGAGTAACAATGGTGAAAGGCCTCAGCTGTTTGCTCAGGAGTATGGACCCGTCCTTTTGTAGGACAGGTGATTTGAGAAATAATGATATGAGCTTGTCAATGCCTCATGGATCTAGCCAATAGTTTTCCACATTTGTTACCAAATTCGTGGAAGGTGCGGAGAGTGGCATCTCGATAGCGTGTATGAGAAAGGGACATAAGTCTCAAGAGCTCAGAACGTTTGTCTGACAGTTTCTGAAGCGTCACATAATCGGGTTTAGATTTATTGATCCGTTCTAAATCACAGATGTCCGACAGGAGAGACGTAATTGTATTGTGATTTGGCTTTCTTGTGACGGGCTCCGTGTTTAATCAAGGTGCCCCTCAAAATAATACATTTCAACGTCTCCCTCTGGAGGGGGTAGAAGAGGGGTCCTGTACGTGAACATATTGAAGGGAGCGTAAGTTGTCCTGTATATCAGAGATCACAATAGGGTCACGCAGCAGGCTTTCATTCAACCTCCACGTGGGTAGTCGTTTAGAGGTATCAGGTACAGACAAGGCAAACAAAAGCAGGAAGTGGTCAGACCATATTTTAGACCCGATATGAGATTTTGGGTTCCAACTAAGGATGGAATTGGAGGAGAAGTAGTAATCCATATGACTGTACCATACGACAGGGTGTCCCCGCCGACCTGAGATATGGCGGATCACACAGAGACTGCGTGGATATAGAGAAAAAAACAATATACATATAATCAACAGGATGAGTCAAGTAAAATAATAAAACGTATGAAAAATCAACATCTGCAACATCAGAAACTGCATAAACTGGACGTGCAACATGCTGAGCATATAAAATAACAGGGTGAGGAAAGAGGAAACCTGTGTCCGGAGGTAGTGATACAATCGTAAGTTGTGGTAGACAACAAAGGAGTTTGAGCGGGCACCATCGGCGAGCACCAAAATGCGTGGAAACGGGACACAGGCAGCAGAACAAACTGGTAGTGAGGAGCACAGTATAACTCCCATGAAGACATCTTGGGAAAACTTTGACTTCAAGGCAGGTAATCCCAAGCACTGCACATCCAGTTGCAGAGTTATTCCAAAAGGAAGAAAGAAAATAGAATCACCAAGGAGATGGTCATGTCGCGGGGGAAGCAGGCATTGATCGGCGATCTCTGCAGGACTTCGGAGGAACCATTATCTTATCGCTGCTCGGTGGTGCAAAAGGCTGTAATTGTAGATCTGGGTCTGGCCAGTGACCCAAAGAGGACATGAGAATTCCCATGGCTGCAGTCAAGGTCTCCAGGTCCGAAGGAGAGCTGAGGGTATGAAAACGCTAGTTGTTTTTAGCCAAAAGGGTATCCCCAGCGATAGGATATGTTGGCTTCCTGTAAGGCTCTGGTTAAAGGGCGTAGAGCCCTACGCTTGGCAAGGGTATGTCTGGAAAGATCCGGAAATTGGGATATATGAGCACCATCAAAGTCCAGGGAACCCAGAGATTGAGCTTTGGTTAGGATTTCAAATTTAAGGCCAAAAAAGTGTACTCTGCAGAGTACATCACGGGGTTGTGCGTTGTTGGGCCTGACACCTGATACCCAACGTGCAGCGCAGTTGTCGTTTTCATATGTTGGGCTCACCCGAGGCATGTTTACGTTACTATGTGTGTGTTCACAGGGGACTGTAACTTTTATTTTTTATTTTAACCAGCTGCCATCTGCCCACCGTCATTACACGTGCAAACGGCTGTCAGCTCCCGGCGGGAACATGTAAAAACACGTACCGTATATACTCGAGTATAAGCCGAGATTTTCAGCCCATTTTTTTGGGTGAAAAGTGCCCCCCTCGGCTTAACGCACGCATCCACTAGGGCACATGTGTCAAACTCAAGGCCCCGGGGCCGAATCCGGCCCACCAGGCCATTTCCTAGACTTCTACTTTCAGATCTAGGTATTAAGATATTACTAGGGCTGTTACTGATTAAAATTTTCGTGTTCGATTAATCAACATTTTTTTTAATCGAATAATTTCGATTCATTATAACGCACATACAGAATTCTTGTCTAAGCAACAATGGTAATGGGGACAGGGCCACACAAAGAAATTTAAAAAAAGGTATATTAAAAATAATTAACACGTTCAGGTTTTATTGAAAGGGGAGGGTTACAAAAATGGAAAGGTGAATGGCTCTACAGCCAGCTGATCGCTTATATGATGCTATGAATTTGTGCTGACACTGTCCTTCCTTCTGGAGGGTGGCTACTTTTGTTCCCCATGGTCCCTGTAAAGTAGCCACCACTGCAAGCTCACTCTCGTGATGGACTACAATCTCACCTCTAGTTTACTAAATGGCACTGACATTGTAGTCCATCACGGGAGCGAGCTTGGAGTGGTGACTACTTTACAACACACACAGAGACCATGGAGAACAGAAATAGCCACCCTCCAGAAGAAAGGACAGTGTCGGCACGAATTCAGAGTTGATTTGAGGATTTACAGTTGACTAATTCACAAATAAGCAACATTTTTGTTAATAAGGTAATGGGATGCATTTTTAAGATTTAACTCCTCAGTTAAGTGTCACTTTAATCGCAGCATTACAGAGGTAGCACCTGGAATCTAATTGGTTCCATTTTTCTTTCTTTTTAATGATTTAGCCATTTTGTATTTTCCCTTCCTGTAATATATGCTGTGTTTTTGTGATGACGGAATATCATAATTTCAGGATTTTTTTTTATATCCGTTTCCTTGCTAGGAGATTCACTATGTCCCCCGAGGAAATAACGTATCTTTGTGTTTTGCTGCTGTCCATCCCTGTGGGATTTCTCTTCAAGAATGCAAGTAAGTTATTTCTTTCCCTGTTCATAGTCCTTCATATATCAAAGTATTATTATTTTAGGAACTGGTGTTTTATTTTTCGTAAACCACCAGTCAAATTTAAAAGTTGCTTTAGGAAACAAGTTCTTATTTGTACTTATTAATACACAAAACAAAGAGCACAAACCATGAATAATATATACAGTAATGTGCTGGTTTGACAATTCGGGGTATATTTATAAAGCAATAAATGTGACTTTTACAAAACATTCCTTGGTGGAAAGCAATCATTTGTTATTTAAAACGCATGCAAACCTGTAAGATTCATCTGCATCTGTCAATGCACATGAACACGTTGTTAACATGTTATTCGCGAGCTCCCGAATGCCGTTTGGGTCTGTGAGCCGAGGTGTCATAATACTATTCATATGACACCTTGGCTCACAGACCCGAATAACATTCGGAAGCTGCCGAATGCTATTGTGTTTAATGACAGCTGAGAATGTCAAATGGGCGCAGCGCTGTGATGTCACGGCTCGCTCCGCCCATTTTACATTCTTAGTTGTCATTGGACATGAACAGAATGGCATTCGGGAGTTCCGCCCATCTGTATACATTCTGCCCAAAGATGTCATTTTGCGGCGAGTTTCCGTCGGGTTCGGATGGGTCTTCGTGCGGTGGGACTTTTTATATTTCAGTGGGCGTCGTGCATCATAATTGACTCTGGATTACATCCATGGATCCTTTAAAAAAAAAAAAAAAAATGGAATAGTCAGAAATTGTATCTGTTTTTTTCTAAAAGTGTAGTTTATTTACTTTTAACCCTTTAGTGAATGAGTAGGGGTACAGACACCCTTTACGCATTCACAAGGGGGAGGGGTGGCATCTGGGTGCCCCCTTAATTAAAGGGGTACCCCGATGCAAATAAGCCCCCCTACCCACAGACCCCCACAACCACCGTGTCAGGGTTGTGGGGAAGAGGCTCTTGGCCCCATCGGAATAGGGACACCCTCCCAATGCCGAGGGCACGTGGCCTGGTAAGAGGCAGGGAGGGGATTGTCGTCGTCCCCCCCCCCTTTTCCTGCCGGGCCTGTGCTCGGATCAAGGGTCTAGTAGGAATTTTAGGGGGATCCCATGTTTTTCCCCCCATTTGTTGGGGGGG